ATAATAGAAGTAGCAGTAGTATTAGTAATTCGTATCCATGTTATTATTATTGCTACGATCATCAGTTATATTTCTCTCTGATATTTGCTTTACTATTACCATTCTTATTATAATTGTCGCCGTTTTGAATACATCACCACCACTATAATCATAATTTCTCAATATCACTATCAGTAAGTAATTTTCCCATTCTGATCATTATTATCATTACCAAAACCATCAGTATCATCATTACTTCCTTTACTATTAGCAATAAAGTATAACCACCACTAAACCCATATGTATTTTTACCACAATTATCAAATCAAAATCACATGAACACCATATCAGCATTACAAACCATCATATATCCTTTTATCAATAACACCAAATTGCATAGTAATATCACCACTATCACTACCAACAGCAGCAACATAGCAATGCAAACAGCAGCAACCAAAAATCAATAGAAGAGTATCCCATCCCACGGCAAACATATTCCCACCTCCACAACGCCAGGCCTTTATCTAATTACCTTTCTCATAATAGGATATCTACTGTAAGTTGCTTTATAAGCTTGTCCACTAAGTCTCAACAACACAAATGGCTACTGGATATTTTTAAGAGTAGTTTCCGTTTACCATGTTATATTGCTCCTAGATGATGTATTACTGAGTGAATACAATGCATAACTATCTTCATATCATAGCATATCTTTAAATTGTCTGTTTGTTACATTTATATTTTTCTAGCTAATGAAATAGAAGCAGTGGGAGAGTAGTAAATCAGAACAAAGAGTGAATGGTTTCAAAAAATATATATATAGGGAAATAAATTTATCTAGCATTTACCTTACAAAATCTGTCCATTTTGTACTTTATAGCAATACAACTACAAAACATTACAAAATTTACTATTTATATAATGTATGTAAAAATAACAAACACATTAAAAATACAAATAAAAATGAAAAAGTACTCTCTTATGTCACAAAAATGTGTATCAAATCTTACCTTGCAACTCAAGACCCAAAAGAAATTAAATCATATTTACCATTTTTTGGTTCCTTCTCAGGTCCTGAGGCTGTAAATAAATTATTAACACTATAAAATGTGCTACTTTAAAGTTTTTCTAGTAGTCACTACTGCACATGAAATCTCATCATCACACATTAATAGGGATGTTAAGTATATATTCTGTATGTAACTAACTGTATGTTATGCATGCTTTATGAGCTTCAATTTAAAACAAAGAACATCAACACATCAAAAATTTAATAGAGTAACAAACATGTTAATTACCTTCTACATTGTATAATGCAGTAGTTAAACTACAGTATATAGATATTAAATAATCACTCAAACCTATACTGCACACAAACATGTGATCTTCCCTCTCTTTAAAAAAATATATTTTTTACTTTTAACTCTCCCATTTATAGTTCTTATTCCTTCCTACTATCCTATTGTTCTTTCTACCTTCAAAGTGTTTATTTCTTTCTCTTATGTATTCTTTTTATCTATCCACTCCTTCAACATTCCATATATCCATTCATTCATCCATACATCTTTTCTCTTGCCCCATTTCATTATTTTTTATTATTACTATTATTATTCCCATGCTTTTTATCTACCAGCTTCTAATGTGTATCATTATACTGAGTTATACATGGTTTACACAGTGAGTCATATACACTTAATAATTTTATCATTACATACAATCAAAAAATCCTAAACTTTCACCTAGATCTCATTAGTTTTCACATTTTCTTAGCAGAGGAGGATATATACCCTCTTTATTTTCTATGGAGGGAGGTCATTCCCATAAATGTCATTTGGGTATCTACTGTCACTCATAAATTCTTTATTTTGTCTAATCACTAATCCATCTTGCTATAAAACCTGTCATATATTACAGACAGCGTAATAACAGATGATAGCAAAGAGGTGATGAAGAAGGTTATTATCTCTCTTTTTCTGCAGATGGAACCTGGCTGTGCCTTGTGACACTTGGCATCGAAGACATTATAGAAACCCAATCATTTTTTTTAATGAATCAAGTACATATCAATATACTTAATATGTAGTGTTTCATGTTTATATATTCACCAATCCTAATAATAATTGCAACATGCTTTAACAATCTTACTTGTTTTAGCCATACTGCTCAAAAAAAACAACTCACACTGTTAAAAGTCAAGTACCTCCCTAAAATAAGACTACAAAGATAAGCTGTAACCACTGCTCAAGTTATGCCTAGAACTATTGTGATTTCTTTAAAATCTATCGCTTTACCTGCCAACTCTCTAAGAACTCTCAATCTAATATTTTAGCATTAAAACAACTAGGCCCCATTCTTAAATAATGCAGAGTAGTTTCAATGAGAATATGGAAAATCCCAAAGTATATTTACCTGGTGCTTCATCTTCCTCACCATCACTGCTTTCCTCAGCATATGGGTCTGCTTGTCTTTTTTTTCGAGCCTTCATCTCTTCTTTCTTCTCCTTCTCTCTGCGTGCTTT